ACATGCACATTCAAATTAGATTCGAATTTTCCTCCTTATCAAAAAAAAACAGGAAGAAAAATCCTATGAGGATGAATGCAGTGTGCAAAACACGTGATAGTGTAGCAACTAATTCAATTATCATTCCAAACATGCGAGTGTGTGATTTTATTCCTATTCTCGATATGTGTGCTTCAATACCTGTGCTTTTTCCTCTCAACTAAAATTTCCATGATGACATTATCATATTCGATGTTTTTTTTTTAGATTGTCGTAAAAACAAAGTTTTGCTCTAATTTTTATGTGCATAACACAACCATTCCAAGTTTCGTTTCAGTTCCGAAATGATTATTTCCGTTGGCAGATTACATTCGAATCACGAAAAGAACTGTACCGGGTGGAATTTTTGTATCGAGCAACCAGGATATCGCACTAAGAACGCTAGATCTCGGCATTTACGAACGTTCATGAGTACGACAACGCTCGGAATACCTACCGTACGCTCGATTGGCTGAAGTCTCTCTTGCATTTCTCATTTCACTAAAAAATTTCAAAGTTAGCGATTCGCACAGCTACTAAGTTTCCGTCTGCCATGCCTGGGGTCCCGAGTTCAATCCTCAGGAAATTCAACTTTTTTTATTTTTTTTGTTGTCTCCAGTAATTTTGAAAGATATACTTTATAGAAAGAAGGTTCATTTAGGCCGTGTCAGGTTATATTGTTTGAAAAAAGTTGTCTCCATTCTTCTCTCTAGTAATTTTCCGAACAATAAATACTTCTTGGGAAGAAGGTTAATTTAGGCCGAGTTAGGTTTGTTTGTTTAGAAATAGTAGTCTCTTGTTCTTGTCGAGGAAGTATATTTCCCTTCCTTATATTCGCATAAATCATTTCATTTGCTATTTGAAAATTTCGCAGGGAAGGTCTATGACAGTAGTATCAAGCGTCTGGCAGCTTAACAATCGATGGGGATATCGGATGCTCGTTTTGAAATAGAGCTCAAAATGATGCGATGATACCCGAATGCGGTGTACTGGGTGCTGGATACAGAAATGCTACCGGGTGACACATTATATTATTAAAAGAGAGCCTCACAGGGGATTTTGTTCGCTTCTTGAATCAACGAAAACATTTTCAGTATCTGAAAAGAAATACAGGGAGCAGTGGAACATTCATGAATTTCGAATTGAGCACCCTACATATCTCCTCATCATTGAGAAGACCTTTTGAAAAACTTTTCGAAAATACCGCACTCAATATATTTATCTACTGTATTTCTCAAAATATTGGCTTTCAAAATCAACAGTTTGATCGATTTTGAAGGATTTTCGAATATAGGCCATGACAATGATTACAATATTGATTTTTAGTGATCACACTCATAGGAAGCGATAAAGAGCGAATATCACTGTCATAACCTTCTCTCTAGAATCATTCAAAAATAAATCCAATACTGTTAGTTTTGAATGCTCATAAATCAAGAAATAAGGAAGATACTTATATTGGGTGAAGTATTTTCGGAAAGTTTTTCGAAAGGTATTTCCAATGATGAAAAAATGTGGTGTTCTATTCAAAATTTTATTCATGTTTTGCTGTCCCTTTATAGCTTCCCAGATGGGGAAAATGTATCATATAATTAAAGAATCTCCTCTGAGGTTGTTTTTTATTTATTTATTTCTATTGTCAAAAATGAAATATTAATATTAAAACCATATTTCACGAAATCATTTCGTTATTTTTGGGAAAGTATCGTATTGTGTCAAAGAGTACTAAATGATTATGTGATATTATTTCAAATTTTCCCGTGCTACTCAAAATTATAATACAACTCAACTGGAAGAATAAAGATTTGAGGTGAGGTGTTTTACATTTACTATGGATTTTCATCAATTCAAAATTTGAAAACCATTAACCTTGCAATATTCTGCAGGTTGACAGATATCCAACAAGAATCCCTGTAATTTTTATACAATCCATGCATTTTTCAACCAGATTCCGTATTTCATTCAGGAGTTTTCCACAAAAAAAATATAGCCAGACACATCTAGGTATCAGAAACCAGAAAAAATTAACAAAATCATGTGCGCATCTACACTTATTCGCCAACAGAATCCCCAACAAAAATTCAGTCATGGAGATGAATTGCCTCCAGATAGGACAGACCCTCGGAAACATTTGGGACACCCTCTTAAATGCCGTCGAGTTACAAATAAATTAAGTATAAAAAAATGCATTTATCAACACAAGCGACAATTCTAAACCTAAATAAATATATTTTTTAAATAACATGAAAATTACAAATTATCAAAAATACTATATTCGATACGTACAATGAGATAATCGTCAGAGAAAAATAAAATTCAATTATGAATGATTAGTGATGCAACAATTCTTATTAATTTATACGGGGTCGGTAGGAGCTCCAAATTACTCTTCAACACCGCCACAAAGCAACATAATATGATTTTTTTTCAAGGAAAACGATTGCTGAAATTATATTATACATATTTAGTGAATAAGTCTGATGAAATTATGGATTTTCCTCAAACCTAATGAAATTACTCACATTCGATAATGAATTTTCTTTTTCTTGATCAAAAACTGAAAGACCTATCAATTCCATCCCTCAATATACTCGTTCAAATTGATAAGACGCATTCAAATTGAGAATATCACTTCCATAATGAAATTTCATACTTCAAAATTGATCCACTTGAAACAGATATGAAGTTTGCTCATCAATAATTTTGTAAATGTGTTCAGATTTCAATTTATCCGTAAAGTTTATGAAAACCACTGTAGAAAATAGATTCGAAAAATAATTTCTGTCACCTTCACCATTCTGCTGATGTCCCTAGGGAACTGCCACGTTCACACATACTTCAAACCTGTTGTAATATTGGCTGAATACTTTCATATGTAGAAAGATGTGCTTTGTGATCCTGATTTACTGATTTTTCGGGGAGTATGAACCAAATTATTCACGAAATAATAATTATTAAATAGTTAAACCAGATGCCTGATGAAATTACGATAAAAATATATTTATTCCAATTATAATCTGAATAGCTTCAATGTTCAAAGTTGAGTCATTTTCCTTGTTCTCAAGACAGGTAAATTAAACCTTGCACCACGTGCACATTTTTGTGAATGAATCATTGTCTAGCATGAATCAATAAATGATGAATAAGATACCAAACCTTACTTATTGCTGCTTTTTTATTGTGGTTATTATGTTCTCATTGTTATTTGTTTATTTATTTATCCATGGTCTAGAATATACGCGCTGTTTTCGTTGTATTCGCTGATTCAGTTGTTGATTGTGATTGATATAGATAATGTGATTTGATTTTCTATGTCTTTCACTCAGAAGATTATGCAAGGTTTGTTCGCTATCACAAAATCAACAGTCCGAAACCATCACAAGCATGCGCAGTGTCACAAAAGTGTTCGGGTTTTTCCAGGACTGTTTTGTATTCCACAGGTTCCGTGTTTTCGTTTCATATGAACTAGTTTGGGACAGTTTCGAATCCGTCCAAAGCAGTACGAGCATATGGACATGAAATGTTTATGACTTATAATTTGGATGCGCATGCGTATATGCCCCAGATTTCCAATCTCTAAGCTTTTTGAGTTTTGAGAAACACTTTCAAACAAAATGAAGGATCTAATTATTTGATGAATCCACCAACAATATCAAACAATGGACATATCGAGCGTTCAGATGATGAACAAATGCTCTTGAACATGATTATTTATAGAGGACACCATAAATCTGTACTTGAATAATGTATTCTGGAATCATTTCAAGAAAGTGGATAGGTGTAAGTACGTTTATTTTGGTGGAGATAATTTATATTCTGGTCACCTGATTTAGGTCCAAGTTTTCAGGTTTTTTCTAGGTTGATTTAATTTCGACATGCATACGTCTAAAAATGACCTTGATCCACGAGACGCATGACATTTGTCACTTTATTTCCGAAAGAAAAAAAGAAAAGGGAATACGAGTATTCAATTATTTGCCTTCTAAAGAATCCCACTCATCTTGGATTGAATTTGATGCGCAGTGCGAGGATCGTTTGAACAATTCGAGACATGAACAAACCTACATTTTTTTACTGATTTTCGCTTCATTTCCAGTTCGGGGTTCTATAATGTTAAACTATTGACAACAAGACTCAACATACCTATATCCATACTCGATTCATCGATATCGTCATTGCTTACCACCCGAAAATTATTGCTCCAGTTCGAAAATAGAACCGATTTGAATCATTTCAAAGGGCATTCTAGATTGCGAAAACAAGCAACTACGACCTATTCAACCTCACCAGTTCCATCTGCTTTGAACTCTCCAGATCATCTGCCTTTCAAATGCGCAATAATATACAGGGTGTTCCATTTGGAAACATTTCAGAAAGAACAGATCACATCGTCAAAATTTCTGGTTGAGATTCAGTGGATAACATACATAATGTAGACACCTGTGTTAGAGATCATCAACAGCATTTTTACCTCTTCAGGAATTGATTTATCTCAATTTGAATGTTTATTATCAATTTGTATTCATTCAACATTCCTTAGTTCAAATTGGACATCGCTTATTCTCAATACGAATGTATTTAATACATAGACATATGAAAAGAGAAAAGACAGATTTCTATGGGTTGCCCTATATCAACCGCCGTGTTTGAAAACTAGGGAAGCATTTATCATACATTAATTATAAAAATATAGATTTTTCATGAATATTTATCCTGTATGTTTGTTCCTTAATTAAAATATGTGGATTCTGATATTGAAATAACTTGAATTCTCATAATTTCATTATTGTATAAAATTATAATGTATTATGGAATAAAGTTTGGCAACGCTGCATTGATGTGTTTACTACGCATATTATTTCATCGGAATAATTTGAATTTACATAATTTCATCATTGCATAAAATTGTAATATATTATGGAAATGAGTTCGGAAACGCTGTATTGGCGTGTTTATTACACCTTACGCATATTTTTCCTGAAGTCATTCACATATGTCAAAATCCGACGTTACAGTGTTGTTGTGTTGGTGTTTGTTACCATTTTAGGACTTTTTTTCAATTGAGTTTTAGATTCTTCTTGTTATAAAACTATATGGAAACAATTATTAAAAGTCAATTATGGTTCGCCAGTTCATTGATTGTGGAAGAGTTCACCATTCAAACCCCAAATTTGTTGTTCGACGGTAAGTAAGGTTATGTTTTTTTAACTTGAGTAGTGGTGTAGTTATCGCAGGTTATTTAACTGAGTTATTGCAAGAAACCTCGTTTCTTCTGTTCAAATTCCACTGAATGATGATTCAAAATTAGGTACGTACCTAAAACTATGAATATTTGATATTAAAATTGAAAGATGAGACCCAAAAATTTTTCAATTGGTATTTATTGTGTTGTCATTATAGTACAATTGTCTTGCCCCTCGCTTAACCTACGCGACTGGTTAAGAAAAGTGTGAACATTGACGCACAGTTTACAGCGTTGCCATCTTTCTAACTCATCTGAAACTCTGGGAGTATGTATGATTGTAAACAACTAGTGGTCTATGAATGACATGTTAGTCTCCCCTCTTTTTATATGCCTATGGTTTGATAGGTTTGACACAGATTATTCCCATTAGGGAGCTGAAAAATAAGCTGCAGAGCACAGGTATTCCGGAACCCCCTCCCCCGACCCCGTACTCACGACGCACCCCTTCCCCAAAACACACACACAACCCTCTCACATAGTCCCGCGCGTCCCATATCACACACCGAAAATACCTGTATCGTCATCGACAGAAAAATCGCATCGTTCAGCGAGCACTCGACCTGCGCCGGCCCCCTTGCGGCGACCTTCAACTGGGCAGCTGCGGTTGCTGCGCGCAGCACAGCTCGGTCCACCGCTGCTCGAAGAACTGCCGCATACAGTGTCCCGCCTTGCCCACGGGACTGTCGTCCTCGTTGAACGTCTCGCAGTTGTTGAATATCTGTCGAACGTCGGTGCAGAAGTCGTCGCGAGATTTGTACCTGAAAGAGGGGAAACGGGTTCGAGTCCGGTTAGCGATAATTTCAGGAGCATGTCATAGTCAAAAATACCAAAGTTTTGTCATAGCCTTAAGTAGGGTCCCTTGATGTAAATTGACGGGTACGGACAGATCTTCGTCTCCTCTCACTCTATAGTACATTGTGCAACAAGTGGGAAAAGTTAAACTTTTCTCACGAGTGCGAAAGTTTGTGGCACGAGCCTGAAGGGCTAAGTGGTAAGACCGTTACCAGCGATACAACAAGGCCAACGGACTCTTAAATAAACAGCTCGTGACGTCACCTAAGAGAGGCCAGTGTTTTACCGCTTGTCGACTAACGCGTCAGTTCGTGTTAATTCATCGGTGATTCACGTATGTTTTTGAAACGGTCCCGAATTCTTTTGTTGTTTATTCATCAAAATAATTGGCGGAAAAATTACTGTTTTGTGAAATATTTTGTGTTGTGATAGGCGAAATAACAATGCCTTCCAAGTGTTGTGTTCCCTTTTGTCGGGGGAATTATGTGGGTGGTTCAAAAGTTCATGCTTTTAGTTTCCCGTTGGACGAGGAGCTATCGAAAATGTGGGTATATGCAATTCACCGCGAGGATTTTACTCCATCTAAGTTCAGTAGTAAACAGAGCTTAATTTATAATGATGAATTAATAATAGAAGACAATTACTCTCTCATAAAAAGTATAAGTAGAGGAAAAATAGAAAAGCTTCGATTGTGCAGTTAGTTTTGTATTCGTATATTATAGTCAACAAAATCATCTCTGAATTCGAGGAAATTTTCTTGAATGTTCATAATAAACGGGCATTTTTAATTCTCATTCTCAAATTTCTTTCTGAAAACGGTGAAACTGCATTTATCATATTTATCATAAAGATATTTGACTAAAAAGTTCCAAATTTCACCTTCTTTTTCACCTGTCTTCTGGATGGCATTTAGAACAAATTTCCCTTCTTTTTTCATCATATTGGACAATTTATATATAATTCAACTATAAATATAATTTTCTGGAGATTAATCCATATTTAGTGAAAAGAAGGAAGAATATCATTCAAAATAATGGCGTGTGTAATGTCATTCGAAAGCAATCTATTGACATTTGACATCTCGTATTTTGATTGACTATTGATTAAATGGTCGTCATCTGGAATGCTTGTTCACTAAATATGGAAAACTCGCCATAAAAATCATATTTCCTGTTGAATTTTCTATATAAAAATGTGCCATAGAAGTACATCATGAGTATATCAAGTGTCCAATGACAAAATAAGAGCAAGTAGCTTCAAATGCCCCCAACACAAGGGGAGAAAGAAAAAAATTTTCAAAAAAAAAACCATCGCATGATAAATGCAGTTTTACCCTTAAAAATTACAGTTTCAAGTGTAACGATTCACTTGGGTGAAAAATCCAACAACAGAAAATTGAAAACACTCACTGGTTATTTTTTCAGGTAATAGGAATTCTCCAAGATAAATATAGGTAATTGTAACAAACGGCATGTCAATCAAAATAAAATACATTTTCCACAATTTTCTTTCGATCAATCTCACGATAAGTTTATGTTCTGCGGGCCCTGTACAAGTAGGTGTGAAGTTTACCTTCACCACAATTTTTGCCAATATATTCAATTCGAATGGGTTTCTGTAGGTGGATATTTGTGTTTTATCCTGGTTTTTGCTTTGAAACTTCGTTTTTCCATAATAAAATCGAATGGGGTGCGAAGAAGGGCTCAGTTGACGACTGGCATCCTTTTTTAACCGGAAGCCCTTCAAAAAACAGCAAAATCGGCTCAATGATGATCTAAAACTAAAATCGAAATACGCGGTCGCCTTATAGCGCTATAAGCGCTTGTCGTTTCTAGCCGCTTGTTAGGCCTCACTAAGTGACGTCACCCACGAAGCATGCAGGCCTTGTTGTATCGGTGGTAACGGTAAGACCCCCGTCATTCCTTACTCGCACAAGTCTCTTTTAGACTTCGGAGGGTTGCTCGTAAGGGGGCCACCGAATGATGGATAAGAACAATTTTAAATGGAAACGTGAAACCAATATGTCTGAAAAAATAAAACACCAACTCACTGCATGTCGAGCAACCGTTTCTTGATCGTCGACAGGTCCATCGGCACCTTGATGATCTTTTTGTAGGTGGGGAACTGTTTCGTGTTCACCGGCAACAGGAAGGGCCACGCGTCGTCGTGGCACTCGAGGTCTTCCAGCAGCGCCCGACAGGGGGCCAGCTCGCGCATCAGTCGCTTGTGGTTCGCCTTCTCCTGAAACGAATACACAGGGATTGGTTGTTATATCGTTATCTTATCGTTTATGAATTTTTTTAAAATTTTATACTAATACACAGGGATGGGATTGGTTGGTTGGGAATCACGACACACACTATTAACGGCAAGTTGTTCAGTAGTACACTCGTTTTCAGTGAAAATGTCGCGGTCGGACGGTATGAAATATGAAATTTTGATTGCGTAACTTGTTCACCCGGACAATTTCCGGACGGATTGAATGTGAATGTTTGTGTTGGAAATTGATGGGAAATGTAGTAAGCTATCTTTCCATACAAAATACATGCTACAAATTTGTTGTTGGTCTTTATTACCCCAAGAAACATATTTGTTCATAATGGGGATATATAAACATGATATATACAGGGTGTCTCAAAATTAGCCTGCCAAACTTCACCAGCGGCTTTTAGGACCAAAAATAGAAAGAAAACTTTCAATGAACATGAGTCGAGAAATGTCTCCTGAGGGAGTATTTCCGAAACTCCATGTGATAAAAAGATGCAATTTGGTACAAGAACTGATCTTTCCATGCATAATGCAGTAAAAATAAAATCATTTCAAGATTTCAATCAGGAGTGTATAATACAGGGTGGGACTACATTAAATATTGCTAAAAAAAATTTGTATTCATATTTGTCGACAATTTAATCTCGGATTATGAAATTTCGCACCTCTTTACAGAAAAAATGTACTCTTATCACTGTCCTATCAATTTTTATGTCTACATCATTTATATTTTTTTAAACTCATTATTATTCCAATTTACACCTTTTAACTCGCATTGCAAGTAAGTTCTTGTTTTTGTTGCATTCACTTGTAACAAATTGTTTCATATACAATATTGTTTCAGCCTTGAAGAAAATAAAAATTTTCGAAAGCTTGGCATAGTAATAAAATAGTTTGCTTGTAGCCCGATTGACTGAACTCCCCGATATTTCCTATTGTATCATAATATTGCAGCCCTACTTTTATGAAAAATAGGTGCAATTGCGAACGGCAGCAACTCGTCAGTAGGCACTATGGGATCGAGTTATCAAAATGAGTTAAAATAGCAATCATAAGGTTAAACAAAAAGGATGGGGCGCCACTGCAACTTTTAATTCATATGAAATGTTACCTGGAAAGTTGAGCAACCAGATAATGAATAATATTAGTTGTTCTCCCAGACTAAAAGACCTAAATTTACCTTAGAGATGTTGTGAGTTGGAGTGTCATGTCAATAAACAAATAAAACAGTCATATAAAATACCCAAAACATTCAATTATGATGATAGGATTGACAAATATGCATAATAAAAAAATATAAGATACAACCTAATTCCTGTTATCAAACTACACTGTTGTTGCCTGCTATTATGTGGATGAAAATATATATAAATCAACCTTATATTGTACTGAAAACTCAAGAGCTCCTGTAAGGACGTTTTATAGTCATAGCAGATAAAAAAATTGAATATGGAAGAATTCTACCAGCGCATAGTATACTATGTGGAGGGGAAGAATGTACCTTTCATATGTGATTTCATCATTTTTTGACCTGGCTATGATTTAAAAATGGTCCATTATACACACTAGCAATGGGCATCATGAGTGAATAAAAATGAAAAATAAAAATATATTTTCATGTCAAAAACCTGTATGGTGTGTCCTACACCATTTATCCTTAATAAAGGGGTTCAGTGCCACCAGATGAAACTGCTGACAGGAAGGTTGGCGGAGAGCGTGGTGCTGACTTCACATCCATGGATGTCAGATGACATTGACAGAGGTGTCATATTTCCACCTTGAAAATCCATCATATCAGGAACAAGCAGGGAACGATATCCAGAGTCCAGATTCCGGACTACTATATGGCCACCAAAGGCATTGTAGAATTAACAGATCCTGGTCGAGCAATTATACTCCTGGGACAAACTCCCGTTTGTAGAACTCCCGGTAAAACTCCCGGTAGAAACCCTTAAATATTTCACGACAATGAGGTTCTGAATTTCTGGACTGCACAGAGAAAAAACATGGAAATAATGCGAGACTCACCTCATATGAAGAGTTGGGGATTGAAATGGCCGTAATGACGATGAAGGTAGGCACGTGGCTGCCTGGGTGATGAACCATGAAGATCCTGCCTCTTAAACCAAAACCAGAAAAATCTGTAGAGTCCAGCAGTTCTTATAGATCAGCAACAAATCCAGGATATCCTGATTTGAACCAGAACGCCAGGCGGTACAAGACTTCAGAAGCCGGTTCACACCACAAAAATGGCACTTGACCACCACGAAGAATTTTCTTAAGTGAGCTCTTGTCTCATGACCGGAAGAGAAATCCCTCCTCCAAATTTCCAGAAACTTCGAGAACAAACTAACAGTTTTCGCTTTTCAAATTAGCGGAAAATTTGAATATCCAAAATAAAAGATGTTATCGCTACTCCCTCCAGAGACTTGATTCTTTCCAGATGTCTATCTGAACCAATCAGAATTTATTACTAAAATGACGTCATACCTTTGGTCCGTTTTCTTCACGAATACTCGGCTAAGTTGGTTCGGCAACATTCGGCGATTAATCAATCCGAATCGGCGTTTGACGCATAACAAGTTTGACACTGTTGACATGGTGTCATGACCGACAGCTAATTGACGTAAAGCGAAATAACTGATCAACAAAATCAAAACATCAACCTGAATTTATCAAATGCATTAATCGCAAAAATAATGCCAAACGAAGTTAATTGATTCACAATGTTCAATTCCTAGTGTAACCATCCGCCTCAGCATTCCTGGAAAATCCAATACCTAATGTCTTACTGTGATGGAGTTTCAAGTGGAAATAGCATTGTGAAAGTGAGTGTGACAATGTCACTGAAATGGTATTTCATATTACTTAATATTATTCATCTCTTTCAGATAAGTTCCTGTAAAAACCATCCGAATGATCCTTCTACCTGGATCACAACAAAGCAGATATAGCAAGAGATATCAACGTATGTTATTGAAAAATGTTAACCATGTTATTGTGACAAGATAACCTGTCAGATGTGCTCAGCAGTAAAGAATAGTATAGAATCAGACAAAATATACAATAGTGAAAATCTACATGCCAAAAAATATAATACAGTCGATAAATCATTCAATCAAATATAGCATTAAATTCTTTAGAGGAAAAGATTAATGTAGTATCATCTGCAAAAAATTAATTAACTAACCTAACCTTGGATGTTCAAATCAACCGGATCTCACCTTTTTGAGGTTAGCGCTGGCAGTCGCCGCTGCCGCAGCGCTAGCCGCCAACGCGGCCGCTGCCGACGGAGCGTAGCTGACGGAGGCAGAGGGGGAGGAGGAGGCTGCAGCTGATGCGGCGGACGGGGGGCAGGGAGCCGTCGAGACGGCAGAGGGCGAGCACGCGTTGGCCATGCTGGAGTTGAACGGGTCGCCGCCGACAGGAGGCGGCAGGTCTTCGTTGGTGGCGGTCGAGCAGTGGGACGGCGCGGGACTGGAACGCCAATAGTATGAAAATGGATAAAAAATATTCGCATCTATTGCTAAGGCGCATACGCTTACAATGACAATTTCACTCCTAACATTTCGACCATTAAAAGACTGTATTTTGTATCGCTTCCATAGCAACTGAACGAATTTCTGAAATTCTTCTCCTCCTCCTTGGAAGAGAGGCATGAAATTATACTGCAAATTTTTTGACGTTAATAGGTAAAATGACATTTACATTCAACTCCAGATTACGTCGAATTCATTCTATTGATAAGTTCCTTGTGAGAATAGTAATATTTACGTAAGTAACAAGTCCGGAAAATACTGTTTTTTTGGACGAGTAAACAAAATACTTGGCCGAGCCGTAGGCGAGTCCTGGAAGTTTGCGAATCCATAATTATAATAACAACGACCTCATTATTCATTCTGATTACAAATGACCATGCAAGCATCATCCATAATCCGTAATAATAACCCAAACAGCACAGAATATATTACAAATATTCAGAAAACGTTCAGTACTGTGTCGTCATCCATATGACACCCCATCAAATCAACTTTAGGAAGAAACAAATACATTTTCTTTGGAAGAGCACTATCTTTCGATATTACCAACAAACACCTCAAAACTAACATTCTACACTTGGCCAAAAATGTCCACTCACGAAGCTATCTCAAAATTCAATTGATGATATCAAGAGTTGCACAAATATCACCCAATTTGAAATTAAAGTCAAGCAACATACCCTCTTGCGAAAAGAATATCAAACCTGAGTGAATGATTTCTCATTCACTAATTTATTTCATCATGTCATAATATACTTTTCATGAGCTTTTTGAATTATTATTATTATTATTTTTGAATCGGTTGTTTATTCATGTTATTTCACTGTATATGTTGAAATATATTTATATTTATATGAGATGCAATGTAATGTTTATCGCAAAGAATGAAATAAATGTAATTATTATTATTATTAACATTCGTACTTATTTCAGAATAACTAGGAACTAAAGTTCAACTTTAGCTCCTAGGAACTAAATATGCTGCCTAGCAACATCCCTATTTTTGTGTCAGTAATAGAAACGTCAATTTGAGAGCTAATTTTGGTATCAAAATGAACGACTTTTGTGTCGGTTGCAGAAAAAGTTATTTTTTAATTTCCTTTTTTATTCTATAATATACATACAGGGAATGGTTTATTTGCAGCGATTTAATGTGCGCAAAACGCTTTAGAAAGGTTATGTTGTGTCCATGAAAAGGTTATCAAGAAAACCAGGAGAATGTATTTTTGTGACATCCCAAGGATATCTGTATAAACGCTGTCTGCGACGGACATTGACAGTTCAATGAAAGTTCTATTCATGTGTGAACATGACATCGCAGTGGAGGTTCAATTTCTCGACATGTCGTACTTTTAACATATCTGAGATGTTTTTGTGCTCGCTGGGAATAGTTTGAACTATCACCAGCTGCTTCATTGATATTTGGCGTAACTTAATTCGGTATTTTGTATTTTATTCGGCGTACTCCTATCCTAGTATTCTTTAATTAACAGTGTGAACTTTTCTCACCGAATACCACTCTAGCTCCAATTAAAAACCGTACATTTTTTCGAGAACACAGATTTTGAAATTATTCCCGAGTCAAAGACACTTCCCTGTGGAATGCCATGACCATTTACTATTTCTTCAGAGAATGTATTGAGCCTTCTTTTCTGTTATCCAAATAATTAGCTAGCCATTCCAATGCATCATCTTCGACACAAAGTACCAACACATTTTAGTTTTTCAATCAATCTATCTCGATTCAAACTCTCAAAAGCCCATTGAAGGTTAAGAAATACAGCACCTGTCATTTCATTTGACCCTAAACTTTTTTCCAGTGATCCAGAACACATTGGAATGCTGTTTCACTTGAAAAATTAACCTAACCACCCGAGAGACGAACTCCCTCTTACCTGGAAGGCGTAAGTTCGCCAGACTGCTCCCCCTCCCTCGTCCCCGCAGCCTTGTGGTTCTTTTTGACAGGCGTCTTCTTGTGCGGTTTGCGGCCCACGCAGTTCGAGCAGTACCACTTGCCGCGCGGCGACTTCGGCAACGGCGGTCGGTGGCAGTCGGTGTGGTAGGCTCGGGGACAGAGGTCACAAGGTACCAGTTTGGCCGAGGTCGACGAGGACTTTTTGCCGCAGACGATGCAGTTGCGCTCGCCGGTCGCCTTGTTCATGCACTCGTGGCAGTACCTGCGAGATAAATCGGGGCGGTGATCAGTTGTTCGAGCGAGAGCGGTTCTAAGCTACGTTCCAGTTGAGGATAAAGCATGTAGACTTCGTTTTTCATTGGTCTAGACGCTTGACGATTTCACACTGGCGTTATCGTTATTGATTATGAACAATGAAAGTAAGTGGTTGGTTCACCGGTCGGATGATAGGCTAAAATAAGTTGAAGAGTCGCCGGTCGCTTTGATCATGCAGCATACAATTCAAAGAACTGGAATAGTCCAGTTGAATTATATTTTTACCAGGAAAGGTAATTTTGATTCCTTCCATTCCTTACGTATTTCGGGGTACTGAATACGAATCTGAGGATTACTAACGAAATTTCGTGACGCGTGGTTCTGTGCTACGTTCCAGTTAAGAATAAAGCGTGTAGAATTTGTTTTTTCATAGGTCTAGATGCCAGGCGAGTTTACACTAGAATACTTGGAATCGATGGGACTCAGAGGCATTGTTAAAAATCTTTTAGAATCTAATCTTGCGAATAGAACAATCAGCACTAAATGTAATATGTCAGAGTCTAATGAATTTCCAATAAGAAAAGGTGTTCCACAGGAATCTATTTTAGGGCCCATCTTGTATTTATTATATATTCAAAATATTTCTAAAATTGGATTGTCAGGTAATTATACTATATATGCAGATGATACTGTACTTCTATACGAAAACAAAAACCCCATCATTCTAGAAAATATTATTAGCGAAGATTTGAAAAAATTTGAAAAATGGCTTTATTCAAACATTTTAACTATTAACACCAATAAAACTGAATATATAATATTCCATCAAAAAAATAAACAGAATATTAGTCTCAATCTCAAAATTAAAAATAAAATATTGAAAAGAATTACACAAATAAAGTATCTTGGTTTGTGGATTGATGAAAAATTGAAATGGGACAAGCATATAGAGGTTCTTATACAAAAAATATCTCCAATCATTGGAGCTTTGCGAAGATGTCCTAAACTTGACAAAAAAGTCATAAACATAGTACTTCATTCTCATATACTCAGTCGTATTACCTATATGATAAACGTTTGGGGATCTTGTTCAAAAAATTATTTCAGTAAAATATCTGCACTTTATAAGAAAGCACTGAAAGTATTGTATCGCCTCTCATTTGATATTCCAACAAATGATCTGTATGCGATAACAGAAAAATTTTCATTGGATGAATTATATAAAATAGATTCTCTCAAAGTTTCATATAATATAATGAACAATAATCTGAAATCAATTTCAATTAAACTTATTTCATCTTGATTCTGCTACTTCTATAATTGGCCAAAAAAAATTTACCCACGCTGCTCTAGCTTACCACATAATATAAAAAATAGGAGACATATTTCGAAATTTAAAATTGAATTAAAAAAACACATGATTTCATTACGAAATGGATAAAATTGATACTTTGCCATCTACTGATTAGTCCCTGTGGCTATTTTTATGACTTGATCGATTTAGCATTTTTAGATTTTTATTGTTGTTGTCACCTTATATCATTTTATTATTGTTGTTTGTAATCAACTTCCTCATACCAGAATTTAATTTCTGACTGGAAGCTAGTTTTTCAATAAACATGCACTTGTGGCAGTACCCGCCAGAGAAAGCCGGGCTATGTTAAGATAGTTCTAACACACAACTCAAATAACATGAATAGTCCAGTTGAATTGTATTTTGACCAGGAAAAATATGGAGAGATTTTGACTTTTTTCCTTCCATATGTAATCCGAGGTACTGAATCCGAATCTGAGGTTTGCTAACGAAATTTTGTGACGCAAAATTGAAGAAACACAAAAAAGGTGAAATATATAATTTCGGTGGCCGTGGACAGAGGTCGCATGATACCAGTTTGGCCAAGGTCACCGAGGACTTTTTGCCGCACACAATGCAGTTGCGCTCGCCGGTCGCCAATTCATGCACTCGTGGCAGTACCTGCGAGAGGAAGTCGAAGAGGTGATAGGGTGGTTCTGTACTACGTTCCAGTTAAGAATGAGGCATGTAGAATGTTTTTCATAGGTCTAGATGCCAGGCGAGTTTACACTAGCGATATCGTCATTGATCATGAACAATGCACGTGAGTGGTTGGTTTACCGGTCAGATAATAGTATGAAATAAGATGGAGAGTGGCCGGTCGCCTTGTTCATGTACTCATGGCAGTACCTGAGAGAGGAAGAGGGGCGTTCGAGCGATGGCGGTTCCGTGCTTCGTTCCAGTTGATAATGAAGCATGTAGACTTCGTTTTTCGTTGATCTAGACCAGGGATGCACAGACTTATAGGGATCCGTTGGTGTGCCTCGGTTTGCGCATCCCTGGTCCAGACGCTAGTCGAGTTTTGAAATAATTGAATGTTAGATGCATATTTAGATGCTTTTCAAGGATCATAAACATTATCATCACAAAAAAAATTGATACGACTAATACAGGTGGAAATTACAAAACATATACATAAAATAACTGAAAATGAAATAAAAGTCCCACTGCACGTTCTTCCCGTCTTACATTCCACAAGTAAGTTTCGTGTTTTGGGCACTGAGAAAATTCATTTGCTGTCAGTTCTGCCTCCCTTCCTTTAAATACGCCACTGGTACACAATAAGTGACTTGAGTAAACAAGATATTTGTCAGACGTCAAAGTAACACATCTGTTTAGTATAAAAATTCCCTGGATATAATAATTATTATTCCCTATCCAATTGGGATTATGTATCAATGTTTCCTGCGTTTCCATTTCCAAAACTCAGAACCGAGTTAACGAAAGGATAAACAGGGCATTTATTTATCAGCATCGATGCACAGAACAAGCCATAAAAAAAGCACTGAACTGTATGGGTGATGCTGAAATAGTATAACGTGATTTACCTAACCTACAAGAAAAAATGTGATTAATATATAAAATTAATTCCAACAAGTTATGGAAACTATATTTCTTTATTTATGTGAAATGTTTCTCTCTCAAAAATGTAATGAAATGAATTTGATTAGTTATACAGGGTGTTTCAGAAAATGGTGGCCCCGTCGTTGGGTTCTCAGTGAATAGTTATTCCTTTAACAATGCTCTGCTTGATGGAAATAGAGAAATGAAACTGAACTTACCAATCTCCTTCAGGAATATTGTCCATCTTAGGTTTGAAGCAGTACGTGTGGTAACCTTTATCACACCCGTCACAGAGCAACAGCTTGTCTTCGTTATCTCCGCTATGACAGAACTGACAGTTCTGAAAAAAACAATGATGATCGTAACCGGGCACTCAACTAAATATGGTGTGTTGATTAATGTATGCATGCAATGAAAGAAAAAAAGAAAATTAGTAGAGGTGTTATAACGTTTAAGGTCACATTTGATTTCAAATGATTGACTAACCCTCGTTCGATTGGCTACTAGTACTGGATGCATCGAGTCTTAATTATTTACTAGTTTTTACTTGCGGCTTTGCTCGCGTTGAAGCCCTTGAATAAATATCAAGACTATAGCTTCGACTGTTTAGATTTTTTCTATATTCAACGTTATTTTGTTCTGCCACTTATAAGAATATTTTTGTATACTATGTTGTAAGTTTTTCCGTCTGGTGCAAAAATGTGTCAATTTCAGTGCAGCCCTGCTACCTGTAATATCTGCCCTTGTGATTTGTTTATAGTAACAGCAAAGCTGAGCTTGACGGGAAACTTTTTCACAATCCACGCACTGGCGAACCATAATAGATTATTAATAATTAAAAAATATTAAACGAAGGAAATCAATTAAAACCCAGAAAGTCCTAAAATGGTAACAAACACAGCACAACAACACTGAAACGTCGGCATCTGACATACGTGAATGACATAGGAAAAAATATGGGTTACTCATAGTGAACAGACCAATTCAGCGTTGCCACGGTTATTTTCATAGTATACTTTATGATTTTATGTAATGATGAAATTAGGAGAATTTAAATGATTTCAATAGCAGAATTGACATATTTCGATTAAGGAACATACAGAAAAAATATACATAAAGAATCTATATTACATAAGTAAACAACGGAGAAGAGAATAGTGGACAAAGCCCTCATAAAAAATTGACCTTAGACACATGTATCGGGCTTTTAATCAATGTATGAATAATGCTTCCCTCGTTTTCAAACAGTGGCGGTCATCATCGTTTTCTGCTGAAAACGTTGTTGGATCAGGACGAAATATAAACAAATTCTTCTCCCCCCTTTTTATATGTCTATGGGTTGTATGTTATCGATGCCCTGAGCTAGCAGCCAATAAAACAGCAATATCGCAAGAGGAAGATCATTAGAGAAAGCAGAAGGAAAGCAAAACGATCACCACCCACACTCAGCTTGCTGTTATATTTTCGAGCATTAAACGAAACTTGATTTGACGTAGTGCTCACAGCTTTCATGATGCTCTTGTCCCAGGCGATCGACCCTTCGAGCGCGTACAGGCACATCGCCAGCTGGGCGGACGTCGAGCACCTGTTGATCGCCTCGCGCCACGTTGCCAGACCTTTGGGCACGTCGAGGTCGGTGCCAGCGAGGCCGCCCGGCGACGATTGGCCGGCAGCGCCGCAGGTGGCGCTGCTGGCGCTCGAGACGGCGCAGGATTCTTGCGACATGGCCGCCAGGTTCGGGTCACCGGTGCTGAAAGGGGAAACAATGTGATGAACGCGGGGACTCACACCAAATTTGTTATTACGAAAACGAATGCACTTAGGAAGTAGAAGGTCGTTTCAAAATAGGATGGAAGACATTTCGGTATATGAGCTAGAAATATATTCATCAGGAAAAGAATGTAATGAACGCGGAGACTCAATTACAATGAGAATGAATGCACTCAGGATGTAGGTCGTTCTACATTAGGGCAGTAAATATTTTGGTATATGGACAAGAAATATATTCATCAATTGTTCACTAGGTTTAGATAGATCTACCTACCTCATATCTATTTATCACAGGAAGAGAAACAAACTTTGAATCAATGGATACTGAATTGCTCACTTGGTCCTATATTCTATTACAAGCATCACTACCTTCTTGCCATAATAATAGTGAAAGTATTTTATTCAACAACAATATTCAAATGGCTATATTCCGAAATCCTTCTGCCTAGGGTCACTGGATGGTATTAGTTAGATGAGAGTTCGGACACAGATGAATTTCTGTCCTTTTCTATTTTCTATATTACAATGGTTTGACATATATTCTGCTCTTTGTCTATTCAATTTCCCTAGTAGCGCCAGATTGATACGATTAAAGCGGTTCGATTTTCTGTCAAAATCAATCATTGTCGTGGATGGAAAATAGAAATAGGGTATAAACACGCATTTAAATTGGTACAGCGATACCCTTTTCGTAGAACAATAGTTATAAAAATCAGAAGAATTCACATAACAACATTTTGATATAACAAAATAGACACATATGAATATACTCATAGCTAGTCCTTATTGAATGTAAAACTGTACATGAGTGATAAAGTTTAAAACATGAAAATTTTTTTGATTCCTTATTGAATGTAAAACTGTACACGAGTGATAAAGTTTAAAACATGAAAATTGTTTTGATTTTCCACCTTTTGTTGCATTCAATTTTTACTGATAAATTTTGAATTCGGTCGGTATAGAAAACGGCATTCAATGATACTATATCACGTTGCAGTTTACTTGATTTCTTCGGTTTCGTGCTCAAATCATCAATTTCTTTACGTAGTTTTGCAATGAATTCGTTGGAAAATGGGCCTTAAAGATAGTTTCATTCCAATCTGCTGTTATAAAAAGTTTATTTTAACGTATGTACTTACTTCACAAATTTTGCCTGCCTTCAAATTGATTGTTCATCCAATCCGTTTAATACATTCCTTTCATAATAGAATGGTTGATATTTCCTTTGGAAGATTGAAGAAATGAAATCGTCATTCCCTCCAGAATTCCCGCAATTCTCAATAGTTTATAAAATTATATTTCAATGCTGACGTTCATAAAATGGGCGTGTACACCTTGGTAGAACTTTCAACTCAAACCATGTTTGAAATGATCCTTTCATACATAAATAATGATTGACGACATAATTCGATCGAAAAATGTACTGGAATGTTCAATTTTTGGACATAAATAATAGTACCATCTGAAAACGGACCCTCTTATGACGTAGAAACCTCATCTCGCCATAGTTAAAAGAAAATACCAAACGCCGGACGGAGACTGAGGCAACTGATATATTAATTCTTTCAACTGTGTTCTCGCGCTAATTCACTCTGCCAGAAATCATGTATCATTCATCTCTGTCTGGAATAGTCCTGTTTCAGTATTAGGGTTTTGACGTCACATCATCGCCTCATTTTCAGAGGTCCGAAAAATCGGGGATTTCAATAATTTTTTATAAAACGTAGGGAGCTCACAGCGATAAACGGTTTCCGGTGGTGAGCTAGTTTGGGTGAGTTCTATCGAATTATGGAATAAAATTTTTTTGTGATATAAGCCCATTCATTGTCAAATTCGATTAATTTTGAATGAAAAAGCGCGGTACGGCTATGATGCTGTAGTCACAATGCAAGGTGTGTAACTTAATAAATCTAAACATTCAATAACAGTTGTCTTATCTAACTAATACCATCTAGTGACTCTACTTCTGCCAAACATTTTGCCAGTAATATTGAGAAAATGAGGAGTTATACGGATAATGAGATATCTTAGCTTGGCAATATGCTGTTACCGCCAGTTGCTTAATCTTTTTATCTTGTAGACATGGTTGCCACATTGGCGATTATATTTTCCGGGGATGCCTACTGATATAGGAACACTGATAAATTTGTTGATTATAATAATTAGTCAACGAAATCGTAACACCATAACTCGAGCAAACTGAGCAGGATGGGGAATCCATATGAAAAACGTATCATTATTACATGTCTGTATCACATTTTATCCTAGCTAATCATGACACTTATGAAATATTTCGGGGTTCAGAGCATATTGAAAGTGATCAGAAGTAGAGTCACTGGATGTTATTAGTTTGATAAGAGTTCGGACACAGAAATGACAACGGTTAGGGTTTTTGAATGTTTAGATTTATTGAGTTTCACACCTTGCATTGTGACAAGAGCACGATAGTCGTCCCGCGCTTTTTCATTCAAAATTGTTTGAATTTGACAATACATTTTATAAACGTCAGAATTGAAATTCATAATTATACATTCGAGATAAAAGCAGCTATGGAAATCACTTGCTGTGTAATAAATTGTGCCAATTCTGAAAAGAATGGATATCATTTATTCAATTTTCCGAAACAAATATCAACTATTCGCTTATGGAAGGAAGATATGAAATGGCCTGGGTGCAAAATCAGTTTGAAGACGAGCGAAATTTGTGAGGTACTTATTGAAATTCACTTTTTATAACAGCATCTGATTAGAATACTACTATATTTCAGGCCTATTTTCGAACAGAAGATTTCCAAATCTGTTTGTCGATTTCAAAGCAGGCGATTTCGAGAACAAAATTCCATTATTATCATCACACAAAATACAAAACAAAATTATCATGGAAAAGAGGAAATTATCACAAAATTACATAATGAAATTGAGAATTTGCAAACGAAACTAAGAAAAGCAAGTAAACTAAAAAGTGATATATTATTGAATGGCGTTTTTGGTGCCGACCAAATTTAAAATTCCGTTATCGTTTTGGAGATATTTTCTATATCGAGCCATGTTACTTTGCTCCTAGGGCGCTAAGTGGAGTTGCTGAGAACTTTACAAAACCAAGTATTTGGTAGGTCTAGTCAAAATAAACTACTTTTTTTCTATCAAATGTTTATCGAAAAATGATTTGTTCCCTGTATTTCAACACTCTATATCTCCGAAATGAAGCATTTCCGAACACAAAAGCAAAAGCTGTTACTTCCTGTATATTGAGAATACCTACCTTTAATTCAATATAAATAACTTCATGTTTTATACAGTTTGACATACAATAAGGAAATAAAGCTATAAGTTTATCCATATGTGTATATTTTCTAATATTAAAATGTTGTTACATGCATTCTTTTCATTTATATAACAGTTGCTCTGCTAGAAGTGTATAAATTGAAGTGATTGTTTGTACCCTATACCCATTGTCCATCTACGGCTATGATTGATTTGACAGAAAATATAACCTCTAAAATCGTATCTGACAATCAGGCGCTACTAGGGAAATTGAAAAGACAGAGAGCAGAATATTATATGTCTTATTCTTTTATTCACTTAAACCATTGTATTATAGAAGATAGAAAAGGACAGAAGTTCAGCTGTGTCCGAACTCTTATCAAACTAATACCATCCAGTGACTCTAATCAGAAGTGAAATACCAATTAACCAATATCCTACTACATAATAATGTCGAATCATGGCATTCCTTGTACCATGTTGCACACATGGCCAATTCAAGGATTGTACAGACCTGGTAATAGTGGCGTGCTTTTCATCCGTCATAAATTTCAACCAATCAGCAAGAAGACATTGACGTCACAGCTCAGTAGAGTTAGAATTCACAGGTATTGAAATCGCATTTTCAATATGAAATAATTCAGTCGTTGTACGAAATTTTGGATAAATATGTGGTCAGGATAACGTTTTTGACTTTCTTCGTATTATTATGACAAGGAAGGATGAACATTTTATGATACTATAAAAGGCCTATTGTATATGTTGATAATGAGTGCCTAAGTTTCTGATTGTATATGGGTTCCTGTACTGTGTTGAAAAAACATGTATTTTTCCAAGAATTATGTGGAAATCTTATCGTTTGTAATTTTTTTTTACATTTACTTAGGTTTGCATCAAGTAAAGGCAGAGTCGATACACAAAATCAACAATTTGTCTGTTTTACATTTTAATGATGGAAGAACAATTATTTAGTATTCGTGTATGTGAGTATTTTGCAATTTTCATTCAACTCACTTTATTCCTAATGGCGGTTTCAGGTACCTCCTTTCGATGTTGAGTTCCAGAAAGGCTAACCTTTCCTTAGCGACACTCACAATCTGCTTGTAGGGGATCTCTCCGAGGTCCCTGCTGGGAATTTTCCAACCTTTCACCTGCATGCTGGCACTGGCAACTTTGTCCTCCAGAGCTTCCACCTTCGAAAGCAAAATACAAGGTGTTATTTAAGTATATTGCCGAGCTCCAAGGGGGCGATTCTAAGACTAAAACTTGATATCAGCCCCAGAAATGCTTCGTTCTCAATAAAAAGTCATTCATTGATTACTCATAATTTTGATTTCCAATTTCAATGTAAGTTGGTGAATTTGTCAACAGTATGAAGAAGCTTCCTTTGGTGTAATAAGATTAGGAATAATGAGGTGTCGCAGTGGGTTATCTTTTCGATATTTATGGTAAGGAAGGTACCTACGTCATAATTTTAAAGTTCGATAATTCTATTGGATTGAACAATTGAAAATACAACTTTATCGTCCTTAATCAAGTTTTTGTTTATCACTTAGTCTCTGCGGAAATAATGAAAAATTGATTTGATTCCAAATTTTAATGTAGGTGCCCTCAAAACACCCATTCAGATTTCCCAATAACCTCAATTAGTATTATTCTGAAATTTTGACTTTTTCAGTAACCAACCAGACTAAATTTTGCCATCATGATTACCGGTAGTGGGTTCGATTCCCACCACGGCCACAGAAATTTTTCTGATGGCCTAAGAAAGACTTTGGGATCACACGTTGAAAGGTAAGGACCCCCCGTCATTCCTTGCTCGCACAAGTCTCTTGAAGACTTCTGAGGGTTGCTCGTAAGGGGGCAACCGAATGATGGATAAGAACAATTTTAAGAATAACAATATGAAAGAATTAATGAAAGAAATCCTGATTGGCAAATATTAAAAATTGTCTGATGTTTCATCCAAAAAGGTTGCTTGATGAAGATTGATTGATTGAAGTGATAGGTATTCAATTATTTTTTCATGGAAAATATGGATTTTGAGAACTACTTGCCAATATCAAAAACTGCAGAAATATAGGTACATTGAAAAATAAAGTGAAAAAAAAATGATTATTTCTGATCGAACTGAATAAAATTAGTCATGTTATTTTATTATGTTTTTTCTACGAATATTATTCTTTGTTTGCCAATTTAAAGTTATTGATATATTTTGAATGATGAAATGTTTACCTATAGGTATATAATTATGTACTTCCTTATACCAGAGCCCATTCTGTCTGGAAGTTATTGTTTTAAAAAATGGATAAATAAATGAATGATATCTCCGATTCGAATGTCAAGAGTCTTAATATGAAAAACACCTGAAAAAAGTCCTGGCCAATGAGTTCGTTGTCACCCGGTACGGGCAACCTATAGCGTCGCAACCAACTCCGTTAACCTACCAACCCCACCTCACTCACCTGCTCCAACAAGAACAAATCCACACGCCTCGCCACCCCAGGCCGCCACTCGGCCGCTCCGTCCGGCCGCGGCGCGTCCCCCTCCATCCTCACCTCCCCTCTCTCACCCTCCCCCTCCTCTTCCTCCTCCTCGTCGTCACCGGCGACCAAGTCGACCAGATCCGGCCGCCCCGGCTCGACGAACAGCCGCCCCTTGTTGCCGCCGCCGCCCTCGTACATGGATTGTTGTACGCCGACGATGGCGCGTTTGAGTTCGCGTTCGCGTGCCCCGCGCGACTGCAGCGCGTCCAGGACGCGGCGTAGGTGGGCGGGGTCGATGATGCGCCACCAGCCGTACCTGCAGAACGACTTAGTGGATAAGGGGCGGGTTGCATAATAGTTATTTAACCAACTAGTGTATTAATCGCCCTTTAATATACGAGTTGGTTACAAAATTTTTCCGTCGACCATATTTCTCATTACTCCTGCAATAAAGAAAACTTGGTTCGCGAATTCATCATTCATCCGGAAACTGCTAAGAATCACCCAGTAGCCTTGTTACTGACATTAGTGACATTTGACATTTGTCGAAATGATCAACATAGGCTATATTCCGAATTCAACTGACAGTACTGAATCTGCTGATTTTCCATTCCGAAATCAAAAAATTCACTGGAAGTGACAGATGCTTGTCAGCAGACATACTATTCATTCCAAATATTTCGACTCAACATTCTGCTGGAATTGCTGAGTATCAAAAGGTAGTGTGGCTTCAGTGAACTGTCATATTTTAGAGGGGGAAGGATTGTAACATTCATTTCCGTTGTTAATGAAATGATTCTATATATCAGAAAATACCTGGAGTATGAAGTAGTAGAGCAGGTAAGGAAAGAAGCAGCATTGGCTAAATAAACTAAATAAACCTGGAATGTCTCCTAAAATTCATCATTATCAAGGCATATTGTGATTTTCATGAATCTCAATTCTCAAACTGGTGCATCATGAGAAATTTATGGCAACAAAATGTCCAAGTATTCTTCATCACTCGAGCTTGAATCGCCATCGTCAACAATCGTAGAAACTATAGAGGATACAAGAATCGATTTCTCTTCCATGTTAAATATTAAATTTCCAAAATTTATAACAAGTAGGAGGCTAAACATTTAGTTCAGATAAACGAGAAACTACTACTGATGAAAACCATGAGAACGTGTCCCGAATTACAGTAGTGAATTTTTTATTTTATATTTCGGAACACAGATTTTCAGCAGAGTCAGTGGATCAACTGACAGTACTGACCAGTTGAATTCGGAATATAGCCATAGAAAATAAATTCCTTGTGTTAGAGAACAGGGATTGAAATCGTTTCAGAAACTTGGAAAGGGGAACCCGTTAACGGAAAATCTTCGATGATATCCATATTTTTGATTTAAATGCAGATTCCGTAAGTTATAGCATAAACAATGAATGCACGCAGTGTATGTTTGATTGCCTATAAAACAATCGTGCATTAATAAACAAATTGAACATTGATAGGGGTCATTAATGAACGATTTCATAAACATAAAACTTACTCGTTATTACGAGGTCGACGGAAAAGAAAAATTAATCATACAATCAACTGATGCCACAATAACTTTGATGTTATGTTAATTCTGCTATTTGTCTTTTCAATTTCCCTAATAGGTCGCGTGCACGATGACCGACCCTGGAGGTAAAATATTGAAACACAACCTCACTTTTCTGTAAAACACTAAAACAAAACCTCACTTTTTTATTTGTTTACAGAAGAATCAAAGGATTGAAATAGTTTTTCACAATATTTTGGCATACGAGTCTGCGGCGAAACTCTTTAAATCTCAGGGTTTTTGGGTTAGGGTTCACACTGTATATATTTGCGGCAAAGAAACGAGCCGAGTCAGACAAACCAGTTTTATTTTTCCCAAACTTGCTAGGTATCTGCAAACTGACAGTTCAAACTTTAATTTTTGCCGCGTTACTGATTCACAATTAAATGAAAGAAAAATAGGAACTTAGCGGAGTCCAGTACTTAATTGTTATAAAGATGTTATTAGCATCAACTCACCTGACAGATCAGGCACACTGCTACTCAAATAAACGTATTTCAGCGCAGTTGGAAACCACAAAATTCTATTCAATATCAGACACTTCGCTGGAATTAATAATCGTAGGTGACACTCTCTGATACGCAATGAATCAAGATTCACTAGGACCACGAAGAACGACAATTTCGTGAAAAAGTGAACAGACTTTTTCGACGCTCTAAATAATAACTGGCGTAGGTACCACACGCCAAATAGTAATCCGAAATATTTAGCTCCAGTGCAGTACTCGTGGGGTGGTGATAAGCCAAATCCAGAAATGAAAAGGATGAAATTGGAAGGTTGTATGCTACTCTATATCAGTTTCGCTACAAGTCCAAGATGAGGATGTCTATCATGGGGTATAGTTGATGATGGTTTATCCGAAACGAAACGTCGTACGAAAAATGTCTCAACGCGAAAGTGTCTTCTGTTTTCCTATATCTCTTTAATTAACGTCAGGAGAAAATGAGAACGATTTCCATGATAGACATCCTCATCTTGGACACAGTGCATATCACGTTGCAGTTTACTCGATTCCCTTAGTTTCGTTCACAAATTAATATTCAATTTCATCACTTAGTTTTGCAATCAATTCCTATTTGTCCATGAAAATTTTGTTTTGCATTTTGTGTGAAAATAATAGATTTTTTCAAATAGTCTGTTTTGGAAATGGATGGAACATCAGCAGATTCTCTCTAACGGATCTTGAAATCTTTTGTTCAAAAATAGGCCTTAAATATAGTTTCTTTCTAATCTGCTGTTATAAGAAGTGAATTTTAATGTTTGTATCTCACAAATTCTGCTTGTCTTCAAATTAATGTTCCATCCAGGCCGTGTCCTTCGGAAAATCAAATAAATGAAATCCATTCTCTTCAGAATTCTCACAATTCATTACACAGCAGGACATTTACATTTATGCTTGCTTTCTTCTCAATAGTTTATGAAATTATATTTCAATTCTAACGTTCATTAAATGTATTGTCAAATTCAGACAATTTTGAACGAAAAAGTGCGCCCTAACAACACGGGATCTTGCTGGTACATCCCGCTAAGGTCCTACAAATGTCTCAATGTTTCAGACTTAGGTACGATATCCCAGAGATGTTCCTCTTGGGACATCCATCAGATGTTTTCATTGGATGTTCTAGAAACATCCCATTTGATCTATTTTTTTAAACAATATCATGGTTCCATATTCGCTAATGATGATTGACATGATTGAATAGTTCAAACAACTGTGTCATTTGAAACATTGAAGAGTTGGTAAAAAATGGAAATCAAAACTGTATTCGTACTCATATATACTTATACCTATACCAAAGCCAGCTAATTTCATCGATAACAAATTGAAATAATTATACTAAATATTTCTCAATAGGATCACCAAAGTACCTGCTTAACTTCATGAACCATGTAATAAACGACTAAATTGAAATATATCTCTCCAGCATATTTATTGCTGAATTTATTTGTTATACGAGCCGATAGATGGCGGTACAACTAAGTTGCTAAGAGTTACTAACAGCCGTCGGCCCAGCGCCATTAAATATGACCCTCAAACAACTGTTATCATCTTCCATTAGTTATTGGACCGCACCGACCTTATATTTTCGGATTGTTACTTTATATCTGGAAATGGGTCGTCCATTTTCAGGATTTCAGATTGAAAATAATTCATACCGTGTCATCCATTACTGTCATCAAACAAAAAACATCGTAGAAGTTTCTTTAAGATGTTCCATATCAAGCCTGAATGTCTCTGGTACATCCCGTATCATCTCACAAACATTCTGATGGAATGTTTATAAGACATCGCAAATGTTTAGATTTATTAAGCTATACACCTTGCATTGTGACAAGAGCACCATAGTCGTTCCGCGCTTTTTTATTCAAAATTGTTTGAATTTGACAATACATTTTATGAACGTCCGAAATGGAATATAATTTCATGAACTATTAATCTGAACAAAAAAAAATATACTGACAAGGAAAAAAAACTTATGGATTATACAAAAAAGTGAATAGAAAGACCAAGGACATAGATTTTTCACTCGAGTTTTAATTTGGTTATGTTTTAATGATAAAATTAATTATTTCTCAATGTTCATTGATTCGTTCTTAATAACTCATGGGTTTAAAAATTTATTAAATTTGTTTATTCTCAAACACTGAAATTGATTTCAGATTTTATTATAGAAACATGGAAATTAGATTCCACTGATATCCAAGACAAGCCATTTTTAGGTAAAATCATCTTGATTATGCAACAAAAGATTTGAGTCGTGAGGGCGAGCTACTAAAACGCGAGGTCAATGTCGAAGTCAAAACACTCAAAATTTGACCAGATAACCCTGAAGGCTGTGGGCTGTTTTATCGAGAATATTTGGAAAACATGAGGTAAAATATTTGAACAAATAGAAAACCTCAAGTTAGGGAAAGACTTGAGCAGACTTACGTTCTTTTACTCTCAATGTGGAACTTCACGACCAATTCTTACATTGACAGAGAAGAAGATATCGAAGAAGTATATTCATCAGTTCTACCAGCTTTGACCTCACGTTTTAGTGGCGCAATGTAGTGGACAATAAATAATGTTAACACTCATTAATAAAAAACGTTTTTTAATGGAAACAGGAATCTAAAAATAAGAGAATTCTGGTTACTAAAGTGACATTATCAAACTTCTGTGAATTGAAAAATTCCATCTCAACGACCGAAAAATCAACCACACACTCACCTCTTATCCTTGGGCACCCTCTTCTTCTCGCTCGGCCTCGGCATCCCGTGCTTCTTGATGTGCTCTAATTGAGCGCTCTCGTCTGCCGTCATCTGTAGCGGAGCAGGACTGTCGCAAGAATTGTGGTAGTTGCCTTGACAACAAAGAAATTTACTGTCAAAACGGCGAATAACTGAATGATCGTTGAAATAAATGATCAATTTTGCTCATTTCTCCTGCGGAGAACACTTTATTTCAAGAACCTCTGCGGAACCACTGCCAAATCGATAATTTGAGAGTATTTTTCGAATAAAACATCTAATTCGACTCGGCATAAATAGATTATGAGACAAAATGGAACTAAGGAATAATAAACCCATAGTAACAAATATTTATGAACTTATTAGTTATTGTAAGGTACATAACAGATTTAAAAAAAAAATCATTCAAACATGAACGTGGCGGCACCGAAAAGTTCCGTAGTAGTAAGTAACTTCATTTGCCGTTTGTTGGTATGAATGATTTCCGGCTTTCGTCTGATTAGTTCTGGGTGTTCAAGTAACTCATTTAGTATTATAAGCAATAAGCAGACTTTTTCGTAAATGAATATGGTTCGACCGTGTCAAATCTGCGAAACAAAAGTTAGTTACAAATATCCTAACCTGATATTTCACAAGTACGTGGAAATTTGGTTCAGTGGCGGTCTTGTTTGATGGCTTGCTTTTGAATTTATATCAAAGTTCCTATAGTTCAAATATTCTTGTGTACTATGAATCTGTTTGGTATTCTCCTGTGTGCATGATCCTGTCCAACTATAACTGACCGTTTGAAAATCGCACGTTTTCTCTAGATTACAATTGATAGCCAGCGCGATTCATCCATAACTAAAAGGAAATATATACGTATTTTTTCTTTTTTTCGTAAGATTAAATTTCACTTCAGAAAAAAAAAATTAAAGAGGAACATGGCTGCCACCATTCCTATCACCTATTTTCTGAAATTTCACATTCACACAGACTTGAAATACGATTCCCTGTTCCAGTACGACGTTGCCGACATCATCAATATGTCTAGATTTCCGGAAATCGTTCTTTGAATGCATAATAACTATATCATAGTAGCAATACGATATAATAGGTTCTTCAATCCTACTTTACCAAGTAATATTAATAATTCTCATAAATCTCTCATTGAATGAAGTTGATTACTAATGAAGATAAAATATGATATTTTGCGATAGTATCTATAATTTTTCACTATCGTTATATTACAATACGTTAATCATAACTTGTCAGTCATTTTCTGCTAATGAATTCGTTCCTTAATAGAAAGGATCTATTTTCTGGAAAAAATGCAGATTATATCTTATCGCCTAATATTTCTAGTCCCTCCACACCACTAAAAATACTGACAGGCACAACAAGAGGAAGGAGCCATATGTGCCGGCTTCATTCTGTTCTGACCGATAGCAGTAAATTGGGAAGGATAGTATCATCGAATGTAACCGATAATGATTCATTGATTCAATATGATTGTATAGGATCGAGAGATTTTTTAATGCATAAACAAAAAAACCATAACCTGTCAGAAGGAAACTAACTACCCTCTACATTCCTGCAACGAGTGCATTTGTGGTTATGTATGTTTTTGTTGACCAGTTTTACTTCTTCAATTTTTTTCATTCGCTAGCGATTCGCTAGCTATATTCTTCACCATCAGCTATTTTCAGACTAGATTCAGAATATACGTCACAGTGTGCCACCACGAAAATTGGAAATTGCTTTAATTTGATAATTAAAACGACTCGGACTTTATCGGTGGTCATTCTGTACAGCGTGGACATAAAACTAGAGAGTTCCGAACTTATTTTATGAAAATTCATCTGGAGACTTCCCAATTGAAAAGTATATGCCAACAATCCTTGACGCCAAACACATATAAATGAATGAAATCTCAAATGGTGGGGATAACTAGGCGGATACAGAGCCAGAAAATTGAGGTCACTGGATATTTTCAATATTTTCAACATGCTTTTCAACAAAAGCAGTTAGGATATTTGAAACTAACTATTCTTCACATATTTGTAACTGACGAACTATATTTATTCACAAAATAGTCTGCTTCAGATTAATATTCCTAAATGAATTACTGAAACACCGAAAAATAATCTCACAATAGCTGGAAAATATTGAAAAGGAATATTCTCAGATAAATGAACATAAAAAATGGATATATATACAGTGTGACCCACTTCTAATGGAACCACCCCTGTATCTTAAGTAATCGTTAGGTAAGGATCCTGAAATTTGCTGGAGCGAGAGATATATCAAAAATGCACTCTATGACCAAGTGGGGTCATCTTCAGTGATATACACTGTTCGCCAACAGCCATGAAACTACCCCAATTTCCGGAAAATGATATTATGAGTCAAAATAGGTCGAAAATCACTTCAGATTTGGAATCAGGACGCCCAATTTACTATTCAAATTTTTCCTGAAAAATTTTCAGTTTGGAAAAATGAAATTTTGTCGCATTTTTTTTGGAAGCACCCCCGTATCTCACGTGATTGACTTTATCTTTGGACTTTCTCTTCCTCCGGCAAATTTCAGAACCCTACCTCAATAATCATCATTTTCCGGAAATTGGGGTAGTTTCATGGCTGTTGGCGAGCAGTGTATATCACTGAAGATGACCTCCACTTGGTCATAGAGTGCATTTTTGGTATATCTCTCGCTCCAGCAAATTTCAGGATCCTTACCCAACGATTACGTAAGATACATGGGTGGTTCCATTAGAAGTGGATCACACTGTATATAAAGCATTGAGAATTCGCATTCTCGATGAGAATGTCAACTCTTTTTCAGTTTATTCAACAGAAAACAACTACTTTCCTGGCTATATGCCACGACGAACAATGAATTATATTTATTGAACACACATGATAAGAGTTGGAAAATAAAATATGATATCTTCTTAAATTGAGAATTTGCATCCTCCTTCAGACAAAAATATGTATATGCATACATCATTTTGAATATTCAACAGAAAACAACTTATTTCCTGGCTATTTGCCACGTCGAACATTGAATTATATCTGATGAACATCCAAAAGGAGAACATAAAAAATAAAAAATGAAATTTTCCGAAATTGAGAATTGACATTCTTTCTCAAATCGGATGAATAATATGATGTATAATGATACAAAAATATAACTTACCAATATATTCAGCATTGAAATGAAAATTGGATTGTATAGGAGAAGTATACTGGCATAAACTCTGATCTTGATGAGCTTGAAGACTTCCAAAAATAATCATTCATATCAGTGATATGGGAAATATTATCTCTCACACACAGGTTATATATGACTTTATTGCAACGAAAATGACAAATGACCTTTTTTACAACGATCACTGCTCGTCTACTACGACGAGTTCAGTTCTAGTGGAATATTTCGGACAGTTCAGATTGCAAGAATAACAAATATCATTGATATTGTTAAGGTAATGAAGGTCTGAAAAATCCTCTCGAATTATAGATTTAGCAGCTGTTTCACACAGGTCCTTAGAACGTGATGTCTTTCCCGTGGAAGAAATAAGCAAAATAAATCGTTCTTCTCAACTAGCCACTCTGATAACGCACCTGTGGAATTTGCCCCGGGCGGCGGGAACACCGGTATCTTCAGCTCGGTGATGTCCCTCGTACAGGCGCCTACGCCGCCGTTCTCCCACCGACTGCCGGCTGTCAGATGGACGCCATCGCAGGTGGCGCCGTCCGCCGGCAGGATGCCGAACCAGCGGTGCTCGGCGTCCTCGGAAGAGGCGTCCGTCGCTTGTTCGTACTTGGGTTCGAGTTTTATGAGCTCCGACTTGATCTCCGATTTCAGTTCGTTGAGGATTTCCTTTTTCAGTTCCTCCTTGAATCAAAGAGTTTGTTCATATTGTCACAGATAAGTAAGTATTTCAAAATCATTATCGAAATCATTATTAGTTCAATATTTCCATAAATCCTAAATCGTGATTCTTACAAGGCACCAAGTTTATAAACATTTCGAACACGTTTTGACATTGACTGGTTAAGAAACTGTATGACTGAGTAACCTCTATCAGCAACATGCCGAGAATAACCTAAACAATAACATTATTAGTTGATTATGAATATCGATTCATATTGACGGCTGTCGCCTTAATCAGTAAGTTAGGTGTTTTGCGTTATACAAGACAACTCCCTCCGAAATAGCTCTATATCTATTGTAAGTAGTATTTAACCTTTTTTATATTGCATACCGTATTTATGATGATTCCTCTTTTATATGATAATGATACTTCGCAACCCATAAATTTTACGAATAATCAGACTTACATTTTCAATGTTTCAGCTCAATGGAAATCAACACATTATTTCATTTTCAGGCCTGGATTTAGTAATTCAATTATTTGTGGAGGATAATAATCACCCTGTAGATCTTTTTCGAATCAGTGGATGAGGTATATGTGAAAATGTTGATGGTCATCGCTATAAATAATTTTATGATTTCAATTCACAGTTTTATCAATTCGATTTGTTTTATTCGGTTAATTTGGTCACTTATATTCCGTACTAGAATTATTATCCGCCTTTGTCAGTATAGCTTCTGAAAATAATTGTAAGAAAACCTTCATTTTCCATTAACATCCAAACAGATACCCCATTCACTGATTTGTGAAAGATCTACAAAAAATGAAATGACGAAATCTAGGACTTTGTACTGATACAGGGGTTGAGGGTTAGCCAGTAGGAAAAATTCAAGAAGTCCCAAGAGCAAGATTTATTTCCTCGGCAGCAAGATATGCAGATACCAACGTGATGTCGAGTGTGAGAAACTAAAAGTTCACATGCATATATTAGGAAAGAGTGTCAACTTTCCGGCATGTCATACAATCAACTTTATAAATTAATGTCCACTTAGAAGCACGTGTGGATTTTCACTGATTTAAGTAATTTTCAGAACAACTATTAACATTTTACCACTTACCTAAAAGTGACCAAACACCAATCTAAAATATATATTTAGCAAATATATATGTAATTGTTGGCAAAATTGTTAATGGATCATCAATTCATTTCCTCCCAAATCAATCCATCCTACCAGTTATTTATTTATTTATTTCAGTTATTGCATTACATTCTTTTCTTCATTGATACATTTCATACAAATAATATATAAAGTATAATTAATTTTCTAGTAGGAATGACATGAATGATCAGACAGTAATTCCTGGTATAAGATCATTCATGAAGTATTATCGACTGTTGTATAATTGAAATTACAAATAGTGAACAAAACTTACATATCATTAAGATACAGTCATATTATAGTGAACGATAAGGGGAAAAATAAAAACAGTGAAGAAAAAAAAAAAAAAAAAAGAAAAAAGGGAATTCATGGTCTTTCAGCTTTGATCATTCCTTTGCATATAAATATATTTCTTAACTTTATTTTTGAATTGCATAATATTTGGGCTGTTTTTGATATCATCTGGTAATTTATTGAATTTCGAAATCGCCTCATGTGTAAACTTTTTTTGCCCAAGTTTAGAATTTGCAGCTTCAAGATGAAACAAGTTATATTGTCTAGTGTGATGATCATGAATTTCAGAATTCTGATACCTATGTCGAAAAGAGCTTCAAGGCTTAAAATCATCGTGATTGTAAAAAATTATACTTGATAAGGAGCGCGGCAAAAAACGCGCGACGACAAATGCATTGTGGGTTGCCCGACCTCTAGCAGCTATTTTGAAAGAAATAAAATTCTTTACATACATAGCAGAACATATGCAACCAACAACACGAGCTGAAGAAAGGACCTGACATGAGACATGATTGACACACGACTTTAGGTATCTTCATAATACACTGTGATAATACATATATACGAGGTAGAAAAAAGTGAAAAACTTGGTCACTCATAATTATTATTATTAGACAAGATATCCATCTTCAATATTTCATATACAAAGTACAGCGGTTTCAGCACATCTTGAAATGAAAGAACATGTTGATTTTCATTGGGCTGAAGCATTGAAAATGTGAGTCTTACTTTTATTTGTGAAATTTATGCATTGGGAAGTAATTATTTTCGAATAAATATAATTTGTTGTCAAACTTCCGTTTTTGCTTATAATTTATAGTTTTTTGAAAAATTCTGTAAAAGTGTGAGGAGAATTTAGAATATTTCATTCCTGATGCTTGTTTCTGTGCTTTGAAAATTCCCTGTCACAGTTTACAAGAAATACGCGAGATATAGGGATGGAATGCAGAGAATCGAAAATCACTGCTTTACAAAAAACGCCCCTAAACAATAGCGATACTAGTATTTTTTTTATTTTGAAAAACAAATGAGCATATGAAATGATTTGTATCTAATACTATGAGTGGGTTCTGAACATTCTTTAATTCAAAATTCAACTGTAAAAAGATTGTCAACTAGTATTTCTTTCACTGACTTTACAGTTGGAATTTGAAAAAATATTATCATTGTACTCATAGTATATGTTGAGTCATTTCATTTGCTTTTATGTTCTTCGAAATCGGATAATGAATAGCTGCGCAATGGCTTGGTGCGTTTTTCATCAGTCATCCCGTATACCCAAAGAGCTTGAAATAATAAATACTCAGCGCGATATTATACTTCAAGCACGTTCGACTAACCTTGACCTCTGCCCCCACCTCGGCCTTCAGATCCTCTTCTGACTTGTTCTCCCTCTCCATGCACTGCCCCAACCGCTCGAACAAATTAAACTTCTTGCTGCCGAACGGCGTCTCCTCCTCCTCCTCTTCCTCATCCTCCTCCACCCTCTCCTCCTTGACGTGATTGACCAGCGACTCGCTCGACCTCTGATTAACCAGCGACTCGCTCGACCTAGTGAGTAAGTAAGTAAGTAAGTAAGTAAGTAAGTAAGTAAGTAAGTAAGTAAGTAAGTAAGTAAGTAAGTAAGTAAGTAAGTAAGTAAGTAAGTAAGTAAGTAAGTAAGTAAGTAAGTAAGTAAGTAAGTAAGTAAGTAAGTAAGTAAGTAAGTAAGTAAGTAAGTAAGTAAGTAAGTAAGTGAGTAAGTAGGTAAGTGAGTGAGTAAGTAAGTATGTAAGTAAGTAAGTAAGTCGGTAGCAATTTTTTTCACCACCAGCTATAGAACCTACCATGTTTACTCCTTTTCGAGGCGTAAAGTGGGTTTTTCTACCTAGTTTTCGTCCTATTATATAATAATGAAGATGATGAAAGCCCTAATTTCGAGTGACGATGGAAAATGAAAAATCTCCAAGAGTCGAACTCACAACCTCTGGGTTACATGCCCAACGCCTGCCAATTGAGCTAACGCGACATCGATCCGTAGATCAATCGGCAGGAAGGTCGAGTTCTCATCACACACCAGGCGGCAGAATCCTTCCAAATCCCAAAGTCACTCGAAATCATACACTATATGAAGTATCGCTGGCAGGATGGTACTATACAGTCTCCATTTTTCCTCGTTCGTCCTCTGGTATTTTCTTTCCTTGTATACGAAAATGTCCGCAAGCAATATAAAGGGCTTTCATCATCTTCGACTGTAAACACACGATTTCGAACACTCTTTAAAGTTCGATTCAACTAAAACGGGCTCAAAACAAACGTTGAAACGAGATTTCAGTTCAAATAATAATTACTACCAAAAAACAATTTCAATAAAATATCAACATTGTATAGAAAATCGTTAAAAGTATTGTATCGTCTCCAATTTGATACACCAACCAATCAATTGTTTGAAATAACAAATACGTATTCTTTAAATGAAATATATAGAATTGAAACTCTTAAAATATCATATATTATAAATAAAAAATTGAAATCGAATTCTATGTTGGTACGGAATTCTGAAATTCATAATCATGAAACAAGACAATATAACTGAATTCAATGAACTACCTGACAATATAAAAAATTGCAGAAATATAGGTACATTAAAAAATGAAGTGAAAAAATTGATTATTTCTGAGTTATTTGTTCAATAAATAAATTAAAAGTGTTCACTAGTCAGTAGCCAATAAGAATTGGGTATGCGTGAAACGCGAAAGTTAAGTTGACGACTTGTGTACCGATCTTAACAGGTAGAATACCTTGTAGCTTTGCTAAAGAACGCCAATACAGCGCTACAGAAGAAAACAAATATCAGCTGATTGGACCTTTAATTGATACATTTCTTTGTTTCTCTAATTTCCGTTGCCTTTTCTATCCTGCACATCTGTAAGGTTTGATAATCTGTGATTATGTTATTATAATTATTGATATTATTGTCTCCGAACTTCTGGAAACTTTTTTACCATCGCTATTTCGTCCCAGAGCCGTGAATGATTATAACAGAGGTGGCTATGTCTTTATTGACTATTAATTCTTAAAATGACGAAAACTACCTTGGTATAAAAAAAATAGACTTGACGCCTTGAAAATGAGTAAATGATGGTAGGTTCTATGGCTAGAGGTGGAAAAATAGCTAGTATACCTCTTCTCCTTGTCCATTTCCAAGGTGCGTTCGAGATTCTGCACGATGTCGTCGACGCTACGCTTCAGCTCGGCCAGGTTGTGTTCGCTCTTGTCGACCGATTCGCCGTTCTCGAAGCACGACAGTCTGTTGGGCGTTTTGCGGTGGTCGGTGGCGTGGTTGTCCGACCGGTCGGGGTTGTTCTCGGTTTCCTTTGGAAGGAGACAGAAAAGCATGGTGGTGACTATTTTGGATGGACGTGATTTCACCCAGTATGCCTTTGGGAGGGTATCATTATGAATTTTTTTCTGTGACAGGAAAATACTTTGAAATTCTATCTCTGTTGTCAGGTTACCATACACACACAAGAATGATACAGATGTCTGCAACTCAGGTGTCATTAGTGTTTAAAACTTGAAATTTCACGTCGATAATTGTCTGATTTTAATATAATGTAATATCTTCTCAATATTGATTCGTCTTTTTTCCTATCACAGAAAAAATAGTGTATTATGCACGGGAAAAATATTAGATTTTAACTCACGGTTTTTGTCTGTCACAACACAACCTGGAGCTAGAATCTACTACTTTTTTACCTTGTACAATAAATAACTAGATTTTGATGGTGAAAAATGATACATGAAAGTATCCTCCTGGGTTCTTCATGCGTTACAGCATGTTTTCAAGGATTAGGTGTACTTGGACATGCCCTTTTTTGTAGCATATGTATAGCAGAAACATGTAATGAACATCTTTGAGGCAGCCTGTTTTAAAAGGAGGAAATAGTTTTTTATCGAGTCTGCAAATTGATAGCCGATGGGATTGACAATGCATAATGTTTCGTATGTATTTGCTATATGCGATTGAGAATTACCGAAAGGTAACAAAATGGAGGACGAATTTCATTTAAATTTTATTTATATATTATTATGTTGTTGAAGTTTCCTACCGATGCCTCTGAAAATGATACTCCTCCGCGAAAATTTTCCCGATAGCAGGAAAAGTACGTCAAAGCATTGATATTGATGTCAAAGCTGTCAGTGAAATGGGCAAAACAATTCGAAATTTCAGCGATTTGAGTGCATTTGAAAATCGGCCGATGGTGAAAGACGAACAGGTATACAAAGCAAGAAATAATGTGAATTTGTTGAAGTGAAAAGTATACAGAAACTTGAGATCTTTGAGCTGATGGTTGTACAAACTTCTGCTGCTTTGAAACTCTAAGCTCATAGAGAAACTTTGGTTTGTCTATGCTGAAGCCTCATGAAGTCAATTATGCTTGATTGATCCTTTTGCTTACTGAAATTTCAACCACATTTTTAGGTAGGCATAAAGAACTGCAGAACTGGAAGAATTCAGTTGTGAAGCTCACACCCAAGCAAGTGGTGAAAAAAGTCAGGCATAGATGTGATGTATGAAGTAAAGCCTACAACACTATACTTACTAGCTTTTACAATCAAAGAAATACGAAGATTGAAGAAACTGTTGCATTTCCTACAAAATTAATTATGCTGTTGGTGAAAAAGAATAATTCTGAATTCTTGGTAAATTGAAAGTCTTATATAATTTCTAACTTCCATTAATAGGTAACTGATATTTGTTTTCCAGATAACAAATCAACTGCCCTACATACATTTCTACAATGAAGCAGGAAGAACAACATTTCAAAAGATTCCATTACTGTCAAAATCACACTTGAGCAAGGTCTTGAGATGGAGAATAATGGAGATATTTCATAATGATTTTATTCTTATTCCTTGTATAGAATTACAAGCTTTGAATTATTCACAGTGTTGATCATATCATATCATATTCTGGTTTATAAGTTGAAATAGTGCAACATTGAGTAGGTACTTATTGAATTTTTTATTATTTCAGAAAAAGTGAAAAAAAAAATTCATTAGATTGGCTACTAAAATTGCATTTGTCTTTTCTATGGAAACATCATAGGAACTTTCACAAAAATGATCAGTCCTGGTGGAAGTTGCATCAGCACTCCGGTAAGCGAGTTCTATCCTTCCAGCATCTTTGTCATTATCAGATTCATTTGATCCTCTCAATGAGGATGATTTGGTTGATATAGCTGAAGAATGATTAGAGACATATTCGAGTTTTGTATCAAAGTGACCTTCCTCTTTCCCATTCATATCCATTGATCACAAGTTTCACATTATGATGCATTGTAATTGGTGAATTCTGTGAAGGTATTTTATCTGCCTCACAGAGAATGCACCTATTTCTGCAATTGTATTTGAATTCCCTTGAAACTTGAAAGAAAAGCACATTACATAGAACACTGAAGAGATATTTTCTCAAAATGAAAGAAATTACCTTCATAATCTGTTTATAAGAAGTGCCTCCTAAAGACAGGCATATATATTTGTAAATGGGCTTCCCAAATTTTGTAATGTTTTGCCACATTTCGTATAATTTTGCATCTGTTAGGAAGCTGTACATCAGTATGTTTATAATGTCTTGCACTTGTTGGCCATTATTGGAAGTATTCTGAGACAAAAACCTTCAGCAAACTCGTTCCAAAAACCGCGAATTGAAGCTGTTTGCTTCATCAAAAACACCCAAACTTCGCAAATATGAATTCCAGTAAAGTCTCGGTCATGATTTCTTGTCTGAGGCTTCAGATTCAGATAACGAAATATAAACATTGAATTTTAGGTTATGTTGAACATTTCACGAAAGTTTTAATAATACTCATATGTTCATTACAATCGCCTGCTGAAAGGAATTTTATTATTTTCAGATGACGCATGCGCTGTAATAAAGTTGCGCTCGCAGACTGTCATTTATTTTAATTTTTTGGCATCACTTGGAGATCCTTATTATCCATATATGATAAGTAGGTATATGGGAGCTACCTTATCATATCAACAACCCTCTCTCACTCTCTTTTTCTCTCTCTCGCACTCACCTTCTCCTCCGTGCCCACCAAACGGCTGACCTCCTTGTCGTCGTTCGCGTCGTCGATCTCCTCCAGCCCGTCGCGAATCTCGTCGAGATCGTTCAGGCAGCTAATGCCGTTCGTCGCCGTCGTCGTCGTCGACGTTTCGAGCCCGTCCAACCTCAGTTGCTCTTCGAACTCCTCGGGATCGGCGCTCTCCATCGCCTCGACGAAAACGCCGCCGGCCTTCGGCAGCGACCAGTAGCGACGGAAGTACCTACCGATGATTCATTCATGTATTTATTTATTTATCGAATCAAGTGAAATCTGCATTTTGTCATTGAACTTTAATTCCATGTATATAGAAGGTGGTACTCAAGTACGTGTAGAAAATTCAGGAACATGTTGCTGACGTGCTATTTCAAAATAATTGACCTCTACCAAGAATATATTTTTCACATAAATCTATTTTTCTCCTATGAAACGTTATACAGGTACGCACAAAAATTACTTTTCAAAGACTCGAAAGACATGTAAGTGGTGCCACCCCCACGACAGAGACAAACTAACCTAAATTTTGATATTGTTATTAAAGATACCCCTAGATACCAAATTTCATTCGAATATCACAACTATTTTGAAAATTTATTAACAAAAAACAAAAAGAAGAATTCAACTTTGACACTCTGTATCTAAGATACGGATAACTTTCGGACCTATGTTTATACGAACTTTTTTTCTTATTCAGACGTCAGCAACATGCTCCTGAATTTTCTACACGTACTTGAGAAACACCCTGTATAGGCTGATTCACGATGGAAGGCACATCAGGCATTCCAACGTAACTTGGGATTATTCTGAAATTGGTGCCTTGGTTCATTAGTTGTGCTTCATACCTAAAATATTCTCAGCGCTGTGATGTTGCCGTTTATATTGAAAAGTAGCAACAACTTTGTTTTTTTGAACGGGACACCCTGTATATTATTCTATTTTCAGATTCTACCTGAGGAGCTGATTTCATTGACCCATAACACTTGGGGTCAAGCAGTGACAATTACATAGATATAGGGTGTGAAAAATCGAGATTTGTCAACTTCAAGATTTTTTGTCGAAACTATTTATAATTGGTCAAAACGGTTTTCATGTCACGATCTCAACTTTTCATTTACTATCAATTTATATTTAATTGAAATAGATACAGGGTGGTTCAGAATTAGGATTTTCAACCACCCTGTATCTATTTCAATTGAATATCAATGGAAAGTTGAGATAAGGACATGAAAACCGTTTTGACTAATTATGAATAGTTTCCACATAAGAAATTCTTGAAGTTGAGGAATATCGATTTTTCACACCCTATATCTTTGTTATCATTTACGCTAGACCCTAAGTGTAATAGATCGATGAAATCAGCTCTATAGGAAGAATCTGAGAATGGAATAATTTATAGGGTATTCTATTCAAAAAATAAGAGATGTTGCTACTTTTTAGTATGAGCGGCAACGTCGTAGTGTTGAGAATATTTTAGGTGGATAGAACACAACTAATTATCCAAGAAACCAAATTTTCAGAATAACCCTACGTTGCGTTTTCCAGAAACGTATAATGTGCCATTCACCGTGAATCAGCCTGTATTTTCATATTGTTATCTCCTTCACATAGGTTAGTGACCTGTGTGTGGAAGAGATGAATTATTTCACGTATAAAATTATGTTTTCACTCCATGAATACTTAAACTGAAAACAAATGATCAATCAACAGAATATTGGGAATAAATTGGAATAATGAAAAATAGAGTTGATAAAAAAATATCATCTACATTTTTTGGATTTTTTATAAGCCAACTTTCAATGTCTTCAATCTAATTTTAACAGTATTTCATTATAATTTTAAAATCCAATAAAACTAGAATGTTTTTCTGAAATTCTAAACTTATGTTTTTCAAATCGTCAATAATTGATTTCGTTTCTTGTATCATAACTATGATTGATTTTATTTCTTATTGCCGGATATCTTTTTAATAAAGATTATTGGCGCCTCATAGAATAATTGCATATTTTTGAATAAATACAAAAAGCTCAAAGTCAGTAGTTGATATTTTTGAATACTTAATAACGATTTTAGATGAGTTGCGTACATAACACCCCATCCAATCATTTTTTTTTTCACCCGGCCGTTACTTGATAGAAATCCATATCAAATGTTAAAACTTCAAAAACGATGAATTTCCACAAAATTCTTAATCACACGACATGTTTCCTAACACAGTAGCTTCATCAGGTGAAATACTGGTACAATGAATTAATCTAACCTTGTCTTGCCTAACTTATATATCCTACTTTCCCAACCTGAAGGAATTGAAATTACCTGTGGAAAGGTTAGATAAACCTTCAGGATGAACTATAAAGATATTGGATTTCATTTAAAAAGTTATTTGAAGTTTCTCACATGTTAGTGAAAAAATGGGTTATACCTAAGTATCAAATTTTATTTGACATTCACGCAGAATAGATCGTAGGGTATTTCTTCTCATCATACTAAAAGCAACTCCAAATTATGAAATTTTCTTACCGAATCTCCCACGAAGCAGAATCAATTTCCGATAATTCTGCTGCTAGAGAGATTATAAGTCATTTCGAAACCCATTCGGTCATCATGTGCAAAATATCGCATATGACACCGATTTTTTGGTAAAAACGTCGTCATTAATCCGAAAGTGGTTATTATTGTTGCTGCATATTTGAATGAAGAATATATTGTAAATAATAGCATTTTGCAGTTTGTTGTCATGTCATCATATCATTTTTATGTCAACCCTATTGCTATGGGAAAAAATAATAGAGCAGAGAAAGAAAAAATAGTTCGAAAATAAAAGTCTCAAAGATAATTTTGTGGATTATTTGCAGAATATATGAGAATTTAACGTAAATTTGGTCATTCGAGCCGCATTAAAATTTATTCCCCCGACGGTAATCTTCAACTTTGTGGTCCTTCGAGCCGGATTGATAGTTATTCCTCCAATGATGATTCTCAAATTACATCGAAAAACACCAGTGGACAAGTTGCTGAGAGTCATTTTGCCGAAACGTATTAAAGGTTGAAGACACAATGAGTGCAGGTTTTCTGATTACCGACAACCATCGCTGATAAAAACGAGTTTCACCATACAGGACTGCTAAAATGTCAAAAAAGCTGTTTTGGCGTAATGACCACACATATTTCAAGCAAAACTGAGCTTTCGGTTTCCACATTGCATTCTTGGTAAAGTGTCCACCAATCTGTTTCGATGTTTTGAATGAAAAGTCAGCAGTATCCGGATCCCAAATGAAGTATGACATTCGAACGGAATTATTAGGTAGGTATCTTGTTCTCGGTTTTTACCACTTCACTATTATAATTACCTGTCCTGGCCGAAGCAGATGGCTCTCAGCTGCAGAGAAGCTGTGTTGAGGGTCTGCAGATGCGTTTCGGAGGTCTTGACGAGCTTCTCCAGCTTCTTGCCGAGTTCTTCGCCAGACAGTTTGTTGTCCTCCTCCTTTCGAACAATTCAATGAGAACTCATGAATAACCAATCAGATACGGATGTGCACATATTGCAAAAATTCGTGGACCTCCCGTATACATATTATTTACACTACTACAATATAGAATTTGAATGACTAGTGTGGAGTGTTTCTGAGGATGAAGAGTGATGTGTTTCAGACGTTCATGAATTGTTCTCTGATAGACATGTTTAACGAGAGAAATCAACAAGGATGTTCAGTTTTTGAAAAATATAACGCCAGTTTCTTCACCAAATGTATTAATATTTTTCACCGCAAATGCGAACTGAGAGGGAAAATACCAATATCGAAAATGGTGATCATGTAACTAACTATTCAGTATTGAAAAACTTGAACTCACTTCTTCCGGCTGAGTTCCAACGCTCTCATTTTCGCTCATTTCATTCTCCTCTTCATCCAAGAGATAGTCCTTGTGCAGGGAGGGAGAATCTACGGCAGATTCGTCACCGTCCAATTTGACTTGGGCTTTTTCCATAGCCTCCGTCCTCACTTTCCTGTTATGCAACATCTTCAGCCTGAAAAAAGAAAGAACACTGATGCCACATTCCCACAACTCGGACGCAAGGGTTAGTGTTATCAAAAGGAGAATAATATTTTGTATAATAGTCGAAAAAAGAACGCAGTGACCTTTCTGAAAAGGAAATGCAGGGTAGTCAAGGGGATGAAAAAAAGAATAATAAACAAGATAGTAAAAAGAGGGATTTTTTTTTGGAAAAGGGTACGGGAAATAGAAAAGAATATTACGGAGATTCATTACTAATTGGGAATATTTTGGATATAAAATTCTGAGCTCACAATTTGAATATTTACTAATTTGAAAATTTAACAATAATTTTTGTCTAGTACTTTGAAATCAATCGATGTATCATAGTCATATTCGTAGGGAAGTGTAGATACTATACACCCCACTAAACTATGTAAAAAAACAGTTTCTGGCTACTACCAGAGGCGTACGCAGAGACAAGTAACTGGTTGATCCTTCCCAGATTCTACGCCACTGGCGGAATTGCCATTTCATCATCATTATTCAAGTCTCCAATACTTTCAATGCAAATATTGTACTCCTTCTTCATACCGTTAAAATCATTATTTTTCGAGAAATTTTAAAATGAAACATGAATCTGCATAATTATTTTATTAATTATGTCGATGTTTAGGGTTATTGGATTACCTTCGATACGCAAATGAAATACTGTCTGTAGGTTAATCGAGGAGGTGGTACATTCATTTTACTTGATTTTTGGGATTTTATCTCCTCGTTTCTATAAACTAAAAATATGCGTATTATTTCAATATATTTGTAGTTTTGATGTAGTAAGTTTATTCACAAATGTTCCTATAGATAAAACTTTACGAATAGTGAAACATAAATTAGAAGATGATGAAACTCTTACTGAGAGAACCAATCTGAGTATAGAAGGCATTTTGGAATTTTTATAATTATGCCTAAAAACTACATATTTTCAATTGGATGATGAGTTTCATCAACAAAGTTTTGGCATGGCTATGGGCTCACCACTGGGGAATTTCGAAGGAAAAAACGAAAAATTACGAAAAACAACCAAAAACGTGGTGGCGCTACATAGATGACATCTTCATAATTTGGCAACATAACCTCATGGAACTAGATAATTTTCTAGATCATGTAAACAATGCAGAACCTACTATAAAGTTCACTTTGGAAATCGAATCTGACAATCAGTTACCATTTTTAGATGTTCTTATCAAAAAATCAAACAATGTTTTCTTAACAAGTGTATATCGTAAAAAGACTCATACTAACATATACCTCAATTTTAAATCGAGTCATCAGAATACTATAAAAAAAAAGCAATCAAATCACTTCATGATCGAGCCAAATCAAGCTAATCTAACCAACAAATTTTCAATAACGAAATCCACTACATTAAAGATGTTCTTCAACTCAACTCATATCCAAAGAACTTCATTGATAGGACGATTGAGCAAATTGAAAACAAACAAAATACACCACAACAAAAACAACCATCAATTACGACGAATATAATACGGTACATTCCCGGCATATCTGGATAAATAAAACATGTTGGTGATAAGTTCCAAGTGAAAACTGTGTTCAAAACTGAAAATACAATGAGATCCATTCTAACTCAAACAAATCGAAAAATGAAGAACAATCATCAAAAAATTGTATTTATAGTATACCTACCTTGTGTTTGTGGAAAGTATTATACAGGTGAAACGAAGAGACCTCTCTCAGTAAGGACTATAGAACATGAGTACAATATCGATAAAATACATATCGATAAATCGAAGCTAACTGAACATATCCTTACTGAAGATGGACAACATATGGCAAAGTGGAATAATATCAAAATCATAAGGAAGATAACAACCAAAAAATAAAAATCAAGGAATCCGCTTGCATTCTTCTGAACGGAGACAATAGCATTGCTTACTGTTATGGTATTCACAACTGAAAACTGAACGTGAAAATGGTAGATTCAAGATCAATTGATAAAAACATTCTGTGACTCATTTGTAGACTAAAATCACTCATTCATATGCCAACATCAGTATGACACTGAAAGGTGTCAAACTATAAGCAGCAACTTCCAAAAATAAATATTTTGCAGTTTTATGTTGAGAACGGGAGCAGATTCGGTCCCGAAACGTTCGAAGATAAACAAAAATCCGATATTTTTTCAATATATCTATAAATTTCTTTTCTTCAAACATTTTTCAAACAAATTGTCACTGACAAGCTACTGGATATTTCTTTTAGACTCTCTGATAGAAACATTTGTTAAACGCAGTGACCTTTTGATGACCAAATCATCTTTTTTGTCACTACAAATTTATTGAAATAATACGCATATTTTTCTTTTATAGAAATGAAGAGAGAAAATCCCAAAAAATCAAATAAAATGAACACAAATGAAACTTCAATCCATATTACAAACAATGAAAGAACATAATGAAATAATAATTTTTAGAATATAATAAATAAGAGAAATTTTAATTATATATTATTATTCATTATATTAGGAATTTATTATGTTTAGGGTCCCTTGATGGAAATTGACGTTAAAGTCATTTTAACAGGGTACGGACAGATCATAGCTGCATTCTTTTTTAATGATCTAGAGATTTTAGTTTTGTCTACTGGCATCCCTGACATTGCTGTCACGTCACGTCCATGGGCGCTACAGAAAATTATTCAACATTTCAATAATAGGTATGTACAGGGTATTTACTTGTTGAGGAAGATCACATGGGGATCGAGTTTTTTAATTATGATCCGATTCTATTCAAAATTGGTATCTGGGGGTTTCAGGTTCGAACTTTATGATTTTTTATCAAAATAGGGATATTCAAGATGGCAGATCCAATATGGCGAACGAGCTTTGTAATAAATAGTTGTTTGAAAAATCTATTGAACACGCGTTCGTAGATACTTAGTCGAATTAAAAAGAAGTAGAACATGAATAGTAGTTGAAAAAACTGAAGAGATAGATTGCCGAGTTGAAAACGAGTATAAAATGAATAGTATCTTGAAAAAGTGAAGTAGAAAATGAAATGAATAAAGTGTGCTGGTAAATATTTAACTGAAAGAATATTTTCTAGAAATATTGTGCATAGCAAAACAACGTTTGCCAAGTCAGCTAGTAATCTAGTAATGATATTTATTATTCGTTCCTAATACTCTTTGTATATTGTTGAAAAAAAAATATTGACAATGTCAAATGATTTCTGATTGTTAATGATTATAAAATTCAAGAAAATGAAAACATTTTACGATTAAATAAGGATATTATTTACTGAATACGATATTTTCCTATTATCTTTTGAAAAAAATGGCGAAATGTGATGTGTTAGGCTGTGCCAATCAGTTAGATGGCAATTTTCAATTTGTAAGCTTTCCAACAGATGAAGATAAACTCAAAACATGGAAAGTAAACATGAAGAGACCGAACTGTAAAATCGGTAAATTAAGCAAAATATGCGAGGTAAAAATGATAAAAAATCAAGTACTTTTCCATTGTGCTCATCGCCCTACAAATTTTTAGATGCACTAGTGCGGAAATAACTTTTTCGTCCGATTGGCAGCAAATATTAATTTTGCTGATACATATCAATCAGCAAAGTATTACTTTTCCTGCCTAGGCAGCAAAGTGGGTACTTTGCTGCCTAGGCAGCAAAATGGTTACTTTGCTGATTGATATGTATCAGCAAAATTAATAATTCATAAATCGTTTATAATTTCCTTCATATTTCATCCGAGACTTCTCCGGCAACAAATTCAACTCTATATTTTTTGCCACCTCCCTTATTTCTGGAGGTTTAAGTACTTCCAGGTCGCTATCACTGTCCATTATATAATAATTTGAATATACCGATATTTTTCGCACAACTGCCAGAAATTTCATGAATTGTCAAACTATAATTATTATGGACATTTCCATAGCATCCAACCATTCCAATAATTGAGATTTCGATCAAATTTTATTTCAATTGAACACTACAGGAAAAATAAAGAGATATAATATATCATTATGAACAATCGGAGAAAAAATTATATGTTCAACTCGGCAGCAAAATAGATTGACTGCCTTAGCTGGATTCCTAGCCTCGCTACGCTCGGCTATGAATTCAGCCTCGGCAGTCAATCTACTACTTTGCTGCCTAGTTAAACAAATAACTATAAATGAAGAGAGCGCGTATTCTGAAATATAAGCATGCATATTTTCATGTATTTCTCCTGACTGATTCTCGATATAGACATAGTGTAAGCTTGTCGTGACATATCTGCAAGGAGCAGGAAAAATCAATGAATTGGTCTACTTATTAACAGTGCGCATCCAATTTGAAGAATAGAATTTTTATCGAACTCATAATTCAAAATTCAATTTTATTGAAGAAAACTAACCAGTCCCCAATTTTCAACTTAATTAGAGCTGAATTAGGTGAACTATCGATGGATTCTGTTCCGTAGAATAATTTGTCAATTATTTTAGTTATTTTTTAAATAATAATATAATATAATTAAATATAAAAAGTAGGCCACATTGTTCATTATTTTCCTACTCTTTCCAGTTATCAAAACATATCTCGAGATTTCGGGAAGGATTATATTTTCAGCCTGTGTTCAATCATTAGACTTTCGAAAATAATACTGTCAGAATCCGTGTTCAATACTTCTTTTATTTCGTATATTATATATCTTTTCCCCCCGTATAATTCCATTATCATCATTAGTCATAGATAAATCATTTGTTTGGAAATTAATCGGTTAACAGTATGATTCAACTTATTAGTCATTCATTCGGGACCAGGTGGTAAATCAAGACAGTCTTATATTAGATGTCATCACGTACAGTCGAATTTTGTGATCGACATCGAAAAATACGCGAAAGGAATTATGTATCGTTCCAAACTGAGTGTTCCCTAAAAACTGAGCGATCGTATTGATTCGTATATAGTGTTTTTGTATTCCTCATTCGATTCAATAATAATAATATCGGGATCGTGTGTT